GACATGGACCGTAGCCTGTTGAGGGAGCCAGTGGATGTTGGGGACATCTGGTGGCTGTCCCCCTTGATGGTGGATCCACCATCCTTGTGTTTTGTTCCCCCAGTTTACCACCATGTCCGATACTTCCGCAAACTTATCCATTAGCTGCTTGATTTCTTCCATATTTCAATGGGTGGCATCCACCATAATGGTGAGATCGTCCACGAACAACGAACACACCAGAATAGCATCCTCAGGGACTCGAGCGATTCAGACTTTTGTAATCTCCTTGTTGGTGCGAAGAGTGACAGACAAGGCCTCCATGATGATGAGGAAGAGGAAGGGGACAATGGGATCACCTTGGCATACTGATCTCTCCAATTGGATTGGCAGGGCCAGAGATCCGTTTATCTGCATCCTTGTGATTGCGTTGTGGTGGAGGATGCGGACCCACCTGCGAAAGTCCGGCCCAAAATTCAAATTTTCCAAGCATTTATCTAGGAACAGCCAATTGACGTGGTCGTAGGCCTTCTCAAAGTTTATAAATACAAGTGCAGCGTTTTTCTTGGTTTGGCGGGTTAATTGGATAACCTCATGGATTAGTAAGATGTTTTCTTGGATTTGTCTCTGATGCATAAAACCTGTCTGTGAGGGATTTATTATATCTTCCAGAACCGGAATCATTCGATTCGCCAAAACTTTAGCTAGCATCTTGTAGACCACGGTGAGGAGGGCGATTGGTCGGTAGTTCCGGATGTTAAACTTATCCCCCGTGCCCCACCAGCTCTCTCATTTCTCCTGTGCGCCATACATCATTATAGTAGTCCATAAGGTCCGAGTTCATACAATTCCACATTGATTCCAAAACTCTTTCGGGAGACCATCTATCCTAGGAGTCTTCTCCTCCTCCATCTGCATGAGGGCCTTCTATATTTCTTCTTTAGTCAAGGGTGCCTCAAGCTGCCCTCGCTGCTCGGGGGAAAGTGCATTGTTAACAGGTTGATGGAAGTCTGCAATTTGTCGTAGGCGGGTGTCCTCCGCACTGGGAGGGATGTGGGAGGCAAAAAGGTCTTTGAAAAAAGCCCGTGCAATTATGAAGCATCCTGCCGTTGTGCATATGGGGTGGGTGTCTACCCCTCCTGGTCCATACAGTGCTTCCATGATCGTGCGTTTGGCTCTTGCCCGGGCTAGGCCAAAGAACTTTGTGTCCATTGTGCCTTCTGTAGAATATTTTAAGATTTCCCCCCAGATTCTTGTCCCTTGCCAACGATACTGTGTTTGCTGTAACAACTGGGATTTAACTGTTTGATACGTCTGTGTGTTCTATTCTGGGTTTTGCATATTAGGCTGCTGTTCTAGCTCTTGAAGTTGGCTCATGAGAATGATTTCCTGTTGGTTGCGCTGATTTGCGAGCTGTTTGGAGAATTCGTTGCATTTTCTGGTCATGAAAAAAAGACCGTTGTTGAACCATGTTGAGACTGAGTCGATCTCCGGTTTGCAATCTCTCCAATAGGGCCAAGCCTGGGCCAGATACCACTGAGATGTGGTAAGGTGAAGCAGCGAAGTATTTAACTTCTAGAAGCCAGGACCTTGGTATGGTCTCTTCCGAAAGGTCAGGGCCACCATGCACATTTTGTGGTCAAGGCCTGGGTGGGGTCTGGAAGGGAGAATTGCAGCTAGAGTTAGGCTACCCGCCGAGGCTTCTGAGATTAAAAATAAATCTATTATGGACTTTGAGAGTCTGGACGGGTTATTATTGCGGAGGCAGGTGAAAGTCCGTTCTGTGGGAAAAATACGCCGGAAGGAGTCGAAGAGAGAAAGGTTGCTGCATAAATGATTGATCATCCCTTCGTCCTCTTCGGCGCGACGCAGAGTGGATGGGAGCACTTGCCAGCGGTCTAACCATCGGTCCGGGGAAGCATTGAAGTCCCCTGCCAAAATGATCAGAATGCCCTGTGGGATTTTTGTTTGGATTATTTCAAAAGAAAATTCTCGCTCTTGCACCGTATTGGGGGCATATATGCAAAAAATACAAACCACCTCGAGCTCCAGTGCCCCCAGTCTCCACACCCATCGACCCTCCTCCCAGTCCCGGTCCCAATGTAACACATGCAAGCGAGACTCCGGGGGAATCCAAATCGCTGTCCCTGCCCTTGTCGGGCTGGGCGCATTCGCCCGATATGCCCGGAAGGGCCAGACCGCCTTGTATGCCCTGTGATACTCTGGTGTGTCCAGCAGGTGGGTTTCCTGCACACAAACTACATCGGGCCAGCTCCGTCCTCCTCCCCGAAGCTGGTCCCATATTGCCTGGGTTTTGTCCGGGTTGTGGGTGGCCAGGCCGTTGACGTTGATGGATCTGAGGTCCGAGTCCACGTCCCGCAGCGTTTGTCTCCAGGTCCTGTTTTGGCCGTGCACAATGTTTATCCACTCCATTTGCGCCAATTTCCTCGTCACCCACTCCTGTCAATGGGCTCATAGCGAATGCCATGAGTGAAGATCCCACACTACCCCGTCATTAATAATGTTTTTTCGTAAGATGGAGCATAGGCAGGTGAGAATCTCAGTGTCGGACCAGGTATGACTGGGTTTAACTTCGGATGTTGTAGTTCTAATAGTGGATTGTGTGTGACCCACATAAGATTCGCCTCCTTATTTTCATCAAAGAGAATGCACAGATCGTTGTCTGCTATTTTGCAGGAGCCGGAGCCTACCCTTATCCTTGCTTTTGCCCCTGATTCGTAATGGTTATTAATGAAATCCTTCGTATCCTTTATTTTAAAAATGCCCTTCCCCTCTCCATCCTGTTGCAGCCTCCACCCGTGCAGTGTGACTGCCCCTCGGCAAGGGGTATAGTCATTCGCCTCCAGCAGGGAGAGGCCCAATTCCCATCTGCCATTTTTCTTCCGGTTCGGGATCGCTAGGACCTTGTCCCCCCTGGGGAGGGGGTCCTGCATGAGACCCTTCTCGATGAGCTGGCGGAGGCGTGAGCAGTGTGGGAGCTGCCCTCCTTTGCTGCCTTGCTCAGATGGGGGCGAGTCGGACGAGGGGTTGGGGGGGGAGGAATGTGGGGGGCGACGTCGTGAGGATGCCGTCATCGGGTGGGGGCGCGTCCACTCCCTGGGGAGGAGGGGGGGGTGGCTGTTGGAACAAACCAAGAACAATACGCCAGAACTGGTTCCAAATCTCCTGCCAGTCACCCCCTTTGGGCTAGGCCCTGTTCCAGGACCTGCTTGAGACTCGGGCTGCCATCAAGCAGCTCAAACGGATCCACATACGCTTGGTCCCAGAAATCTGAGGATAGGTAAGTGTAATTGCTGTACTGGGCCTTCAATCCATCGTGGAGCCATTCTGCCAACGTTTTCATTTTATCCCCAATATCCCATTGTGTCTCCGGGGCCTGTTTGGTCATAATTACTTCTGGCGGGGGGATCGGGGTGTCTGTGTCCAGGGGCTCCAACACCTCCACCTATCCTACCCGCTAACTCAGGAGACAGGCTCAGTACAAGCCCTTAACCGAGCCGCACTTTATCGGCATCCTCTTACTAGCGTCTTCAGCCGAATAGAACGCCCGGTCATTATCGCTGCATCTGGACCAAAAGTTGTGCCAAATACGGCTATAATGACCGGGTGTTCTATTTGGGTGAAGACGGTAGTCCCTCCAACCCCTATGGCCATCTCATAGCCTGTAACAACACGCGTTTCTATGCCACAAGTTTTTTTTCCCTTTTTTCTTTTCTCAAACCATTTCTTCATTGGTGTCCATCATCCTTGCACAGGAACTTTTTTTTTTTTTGTTGTGGGAACAGGAACTATCCACACACCTATCCACAAAAAAAGAGAACACCAGGGGCCAAGCCCCACTAGCAGCCTTGGGTTTCCTCAACGCCCGAATCTGGACGTGTTTGTGGAGAAACTGAACACCATTTTCTGCACCTCTCCACAAACACGTCCAAATTTGGGCATTGAGGAAACTCAACGCTGCTAGTGGGACTTGGCAGCAGGATGCCCAGGGTGTATCCTACTTGAAGCCAGTCCAATGTAGAAATGTTTAAAGCATTCAATGTGCCAGCAGCATGATGACGACTTATGCGACTAAAAGGGAAATTCAATGGCCTTCACAAGATCACGACTTCCCCCCCCTCCCTTTTTACTTATTCAAAATGACTACCGGTTTCGAGCAGGTGCAGCTCCCCACCAATGGATTGGAGCCATCCACAAGCTGGGAACCAAATATTGGGAAGTGCTGCGAATGATTTAAACCACCAGTACTTGGCCCAGCTATCGATGCCGAGCCTGGAATGCCCCTGCGCGCCAATTTTCGCCGAACCGCCGGGGTACCGTTTTGAGGTTTTGTTGGCTGGCGCTTCCAGCCATTCTGGTCCGGTACCCCGAAGCCCTAAAGGCGCGGAGCGTTAACGGGAAAGCGCCGCGGCCGATAGCTGGGCCAAGTACTGGTGGTTTAAAGAAGAAAAACAAAAACAAAAAGACGACTAAAGGACGTTAACAGGAGCAGCGGCTAGCGCAGTAGCAATGGTTACCTCTGCAGCAACATCTGCAGCAACCTAGTCTGGTCAGTCGCTCGGCATGCCGCTCAACTCGACCAATGGGCTGGTCAGAAATGTTTAAAGCATTTAATGTGCCAGCAGCATTATGATGACTTATGCGACTAAAAGGGAAATTCAATGGCCTCCACCTCCCTTTTTACTTGTTCAAAATGACTACCGGTTTCGAGCAGGTGCAGCTCCCCACCAATGGATTGGAGCCATCCAAAAGCTGGGAGTCAAATATTGGGAAGTGCTTATTGGGGAGTGCTGCGAATGATTTAAAGAAGAAAAACAAAAACAAAAAGACGACTCAAGAGTGGTTTGATTGGAAATAGGAGAGGAGAGAATGTTTCCTGTGGCAAGTGGTCTGGTCATCGCAATCTGCAGAGATTTCAGCCCTTTGTTCCCAAGCTTTCTTTTTTTATTTGTATGTTATTAACAGGAAAGTTCTATGTGTCTGTGTGTGTGTGAGCGCAGATACCTTCATTCGAAGAATGTAGTTCACAGAGACTTGAAGCCAGAAAATCTTCTCATCACTCATGAGAAGACAGTGAAGATTGCAGACTTTGGAGTCGCAAGGGTTGAGGCGTGCAATCCAGTGGAAATGACCTGTGAAACGGGCACATTGAGGTGGATGGCCCCGGAGGTTAGTTGATGTGCGCTTAGACAGCCGATCCATGCCATACATCTTCATAATAATTATGGTTCACCACTATGACTTCACCTGCATGAATGAGAAGTGAATGTTGTTACCATGGAAAGAACGAAAGAATGAAAGAAAGAAAGAAAGAAAGAAAGAAAGAATGTTTCTCCCATCTAACCCACCAGCAGACTGAGTAGTCTCGATTTGCGGTGGCCGTATATGCGTAGGTATGTATCAGCCTGCGGAGTGCCGGTCCGATAGGTTGGACCCCAGAACTGTCGCTTTGGGGGCTGGCACTGGTGGTTTGACAAATGTCTTTTGACTCTTTTCCAGTTGGGAATGCTTTTTCGCCATTTAGCCGCTAGCTGCCTCCAGGATGTTCCAGAGGTCTAATACCCCTCCTGTAACCCATAATTCCACACAAGCGCTATAAACCTTCAGTCTTTTCAGCCATGAAGGCGCAACATGGGGCAGCATTCGCTTCAAACACAATGTAAGCGGGGCTCAGGGTTTAGGGTGGTTTAGAGTTAAACCACCAGTACCTGGCCCAGCTATCGAGTCCGAGCATCGGCCGACCGGTACGCCGATCCGTGCCGAGGCTCGGACTACCGGGCGCAGGCATCCCGAACGTGGGAGTGAAACGAACGAAAAAAACGGAAAAAACAACGAAAAAAACAACGGAAAAAAAAAAAGAAAAAAAGTATGGCAGTGTATAGTCCCACGCTATAGCACCAGATTCATTCGATTTTGCTCATCCTATGGAGGGCGCAGTACCAAGAGGCCAGCCGCGCGCGCGCGAGAGAGAGAGAGAGAGAGAGAGAGAGAGAGAGAGAGAGAGAGAGAGAGAGAGAGAGAGAGAGGCGGCGACCGGCACGGAGGGTCGCGGCGAACTGGCCGGCCCTCTCTCTCTCTCTCTCACACACACACACACACACACACACTCACACAAAAACAAGTATGACAGTGTATATTCCCACGCTATAGCGCCAGATTCATTCGATTTGGTCATCCTAGCAAGGGCGCAGTACCATGAGGCCAG